GATTACTCAGAAGACTACTTTATTGCCAGTTTTATAAGTGGTCTAAGTGAAGAATTACAATCATTCATCCACATGTTCAATCCCAGAACTCTGCAGCAAACAATTGAGTTGGGGCAGAAACAGCTGCACACATTGGAGGCAATCACTAAAAAGATCAAAGGAAACTATAAACCCTTCACACCTTCCCCACAGACAACTAACACCAGAAATTTCTCTCCTAACATTCAGAATACCCCACTACAGCCTAAACCCATCTCTAAAATCCCCACCAAACTCCTAAGTGCAGCTGAAATGGCAGCTAGAAGGGAAAGGGGCTTATGCTACAACTGTGATGAAAAGTTTGTCCCTGGACACAGATGCAAATACAAAATAAATTATATGATCATGGCAGAAGAAGAGGAACTGGAACACTTGCATTTTGACAGTACAGAAGATGGCACAGGGCTAAATGAGGAAAGTCTGGGTGAAGAAGCTTTGATATCACTGAATGCCATGATGGGAGAAGGTGGGCCTAATACCCTCAAATTCTTTGGTTACTATGGGGGTCAGAGGTTACTAATATTGTTGGATACTGGCAGCACCCTAAGTTTCATCAAAGAATCAACAGCAAAACAGTTGGGGTGTCAAGTTTCTGAGGCAAAATCAATTGTGGTGAAGGTAGCTAGTGGGCAGAAACTGAAGAGCTCATATATAGCAGATAATTTCACTTGGAGAATGCAAGGAAGTAACATTACCTATCCTCTGAGACTCCTTCAGAGTGAAGGCTGTGATGTAATTCTAGGGGGGGATTGGCTCAGATCATGTACCCCAATTGAGTTGGATTATAAGGCAATGACAGTAACTGTGAGTATTGGGGGCAAAAGAATCACTCTACAAGCTCTTAAAAAGGGGGCAGAGGGTCATCTGATATCTGGAGAATCACTGCATCAACTAATGTATGATGCTGGTGGGGATCAAATTGAGGAATTGTACCTCCTAACAACAGAACCAGCTACCCCAGAGTTGGAACCTAGCCTAGCATCACTCCTGCAAGAATTTGAGGAAGTTTTCCTTGAACCCCAAGGATTACCTCCTGAGAGGGGAGTTGAGCATCAAATAATACTGAAGCCAGGTAGCACCCCAAAGTTTCAATACCCCTACAGAACATCACATGATCAAAAAGATGCCATTGAGGAGATAGTCAGGGAACTTTTGGAAGCTGGGGTAATTCAGAACAGCAAATCACCCTTTGCCTCCCCAGTACTTTTGGTGAAGAAGAAAGATATGACCTGGAGGTTATGTGTTGACTTTAGGTATCTAAACAGCCTTACAGTCAAACATGAATATCCTATTCCTGTCATTGAAGAATTGCTTGATGAGTTGTGTGGGGCTAGGTATTTTTCTAAGGTGGACTTGAGATCAGGGTATTTCCAAATCCTAATGAACAAGGAACACAGGTTTCTCACAGCTTTTAGAACTCACAGTGGACACTATGAGTTCTTGGTTATGCCTTTTGGCCTTTGCAATGCCCCTGCTACTTTTCAATCTCTAATGAATCAGGTTTTTTCAGACTGTTTGAGGAAGTTTGTGCTAGTTTGTGCTGGTCTTTTTTGATGACATCTTAATCTACAGCCAAACCTGGGAAGAGCATTTGGACCACTTAAGGAAAACTCTACAGCTGCTGAAAGACAACTCCCTATATGCTAAGAGGAGTAAATGTCAATTTGGGGACACTAGTGTAGAATATTTGGGGCATATTATATCAGAAAATGGTGTTGCCACAGATCCTAAGAAGGTGGAGGGAATGCTGCAATGGCCAAGACCAAAAGCAGTCAAACAGTTGAGGGGATTCTTAGGCCTTACTGGCTACTACAGGAGGTTTGTGCAAGGGTATGGAGTTATCAGCAAACCACTTACCTCTCTACTTAAGAATGACCAATTCCATTGG